CGGCCCTCGAAAAGCTGAAAACCAAAAAAGTTTCAGGGGCTAAACCTTCAAAATTTAATTTCTTGTCAAAACCAAAATTTTAAAATTTGTCCTGACAAAACCAATTTCCAAAAACCCCCAACCTTTTTGTTGACCCGGGCCCCAGTGGGGAAAATAATTTTTTCCCTTGAAATGTGGAAATTCAGGGGGGCATCTCTCAATCTTTCAGTTGACCAGGGCCTTTTTAAATAGCAAAAAATATCTATGTTTCCTCCCACTTCCCAAATTTTATCTTAGCTCATCTATCTTATTTCTTACACTCCTGCTATTGGGTTAGAAAACCCTTTAAAAGGGGGGTATTCCCTTGTTTGCCCTCTGTTCCCCCCCTTTTTTTGCCCGACCTGTTCTATTGTCTTTATTTTTTTTAACTTCCCTTTTGGGGAATGGCCCCCTTTTTTAAAAATTTTCGGGTTTAAACCCCATGTTTTCAACCCGCTTTTTTTTTCCCACAAAACCCATACCTCATCTTCCATCAGTTTTTAAAATTTATAGGCCCTTTCACCAAAGGCCCTTTCCCATTTGAGCTCAAGTGCAACCACCCCCCGCCCCAGAGAGAAGTACCCCAAAAAAAACCCCTTTCATACATATCAAAGTTTTCCATAAAAAATTGTTCCCGTTTTTTCAATGAATTTGGGGTTTTCAAGTTCCTTGCAGTATTGGCCCAGCCAAACAATTTACCCCCAAAATTTCCCTAGACAACCATTTTTAATTTTCCCACTCCCCTTCTAGGCAAGATGCACTAAGATTGGGATCCCTCCCTTAGATTAATGAAATTTTATAGTGAAACCCGTAAATTTTCCCAGCAGCTTTTTCTCTCCTTCCCCCCCCCAAAAATCAATTTCCACCAGCACTGAACAGATGAAAGGGGGTTTTTCCCATTAAATACCATGATATTTAAACCCCCCCCTGTTGACAAAAGTCCCCAACACCAGGCTCCAGGGAAGCACACTTTATCTCTCATCTTCCCTTTTTCCTTTACAAAAAGCAAAGGCAATAAAATCTTACCCGAGAGCACCAACCAAGGGGGGGGAAAGCGCTTAAATCTGTTGCAGGGGCAGTTTGTACCCTTACCTGCCCCTGGGGCCCTGAATTAAAACATTTTGGGAACAGGGGAAGCGTTTCCCCTTCCCAAACTTCCCCTTAACTTTCCTTACTCTGATGCGCCCCTTTCCCTTACGGGGAAAAAACTCGCCCCCCTTGTAGCAGGGCGGGGTGCAAACCCCACTTCTGGGGAGCCGTTGCTACCAAACCCCAACTAACCTCCCACACGGGAGAGGGCCGACTGCCCCACGGCCAAAAAGTTTTTATTCCCCCCAACTTTTCCCGCCACCTCAAAACCCCCCTCCCAGACCCCCTTGAGGGGGACCTTCAGCCCCCCTAATCTCACCAGCATCAAGGGAAACCCCCCTTGAGGGGAAAGCAGGGTTTTAAAAAACAATAATAATATAATAAAAATATCCCTTTACTACTTTTACAAGGTATACAGTCCTAGCTACATCAATGACATAAATATATATGGAAAGTTTTTTGTTATGTAGACATTTTGGGCAAAAAATTTTCAGTGTCCCGGATGCGACTTTTGAGAAACAGTTTACTCTTGGGACATGATAATTGCATTAAAATCAGGAGGAAGCTCAAAACCTGAAAAGGTCGCTTGATGTCGGGGAATAAAAATGATCGGGTTCCTGACCCAAGAGGAGCCCCTGTTCTTGGGTAAAGACCCCTTATCATAAATATTTCCCCCTGGAAGGGAAGCTGGGGTGATGAATTTATCCTTTATATTTATTTTCAAATTGTGCATGCTTCAATTTTTTCATAGGGGTGGGAGAGTGCAAACCCGTGGGTAATTGGCGCAAATGGGAAGGGAAAGGCATTTAGATTCAATTGAAGGGGAGTGCAGGTCCGATTCTTTGGATCAAGAACTTACCAGCAACAAGAAACCTCCCTAAAGGTGTCATTGCACTCTTAGAATGGCCTTATTGATTTAAAGTGCTTTACGTATAAATTTCTTTGACTCATGGAAGGATAACGTGCCTTTTAAAATTATGTATCCCAGGCAAGTAATTTTTACATTTAGTTACACAATTATAAAATGAAAAGTTTCACATAAACTTTTCCCAAAATTGTCTAGCTTATATTTATGACGTCTCAAGCTCCTCATTGTCTTTATTGTATAAAGTTTTATCAAAAACAAGGAAACAAAAACACAATGGAAATGAAAATTTTGTGTAGTACATAATTAATGTTTTTTTTTATTTGCCACAACGTTTTTATTCAAATGAATAAAAAGGCAGAGCTTATGGGTGGCCCCAAACCCGGAACAAAATTTAAATATTTAAAATATATAATTAAATTATTTATATATATATATAATTAATTATTTATATTAATTTATATATAATATATATATATATTTATATATATATATTTATATAATTAAAATATATATATATATAATATATTTTTATATATATATAAATTATATTATATTATATTGTATTATATATATATGTATTTTATATTATTTTATTATAATATGTATTAATATATATGTATTAAAATATATTTTATATATATTTTATTATATATATATTTATTATTATATAAATATTTTATTATATATGTATTTATATATAGTATTATATAAATATTATTATTTTATTTATAATTAAATTAATATATATTTTTTTTAATAATTAAAAAAATTTTTTATATTTATAATAAAATATTTTTTGTTTTGTTTAATTTTTTATTATTAAATTTTAAATAATTATTTTATAAAATTAAAATTTTTTATTCAGTAATTTTAAGTTTTTAAAAAATTATTAATTTAAATTACTAAAAGGAATATAAAATTTGAATTTTGAAAAGCATTTGTTCTTGCTAATGGAACAAAAAAATTTTATTGCAATAATTTTTTAATAAAAAAAAATATATTTATTTTTTTTATTACATATTTAAAATTATTAAAATTTATTTATTATTATAAATTAAATTTTTTAAGGCAGGGAAGTTTTCCTAAGGTTTTTTTTAAAAATTTTAATTTTTTTAACATAAAGGGGAAAAAATTTTCATTTAAAAAATTAAAAAAAATTTTGAAAAAAACTTGTTCCATTTTAAACAAAATTTTTAAAATTTTTAATTTGTATATATTTATCTTCACACTAAATTATTTTTAAAAAAAATTTATTTATTTAATTTATAAAATTTTATTTCTCGTATTAAAAATCCAATTTCCCCCATTTAAAAAAAATTTTAAAAATTTTTTATAATTTTATCTTTTTTATTAATTTAATTTAAATTTTAATTTTTTTTTTTATATTATAAAAAAATTTTTAATTTTTAAAAAAAATTTTAAAAATTTTTTAAAATTTTTTAAAATTTTTTTTAAAAACTTAAAATATTTTTTTTTTTAAATTTTAATTATTTTAATTTTTAAAAAATTTTTTTTATTTTTAAAAATAATTTATTTTAAAAAATTAAATTTTTTTTTAAATAATTTTAAATATAAAAAAAAAATTTAAAATATATTTTTTTTTTTTAATTAAAAATATTTAATATAGATAAAAATTTTTTTTATATAAAATTTTTATTTAAAAATAATTTTTTTATTTTAATAAATATATATATATAATATATATATATAAATAAATATATATATATATATATATATATTTATATATATTTATATATATATCTTTATATATATATTTATATATATATATTTATATATATATTTAAATATATATATATATATATATTTATATAATATATTTATATATATATATATAATTTATATATATATATATAATTATATATATATATATATATAATATAAATTTTATATATATATTATATATTATATATAATAAATATATATACATATATAACTATATTTATAGTATATATATTTATAAATATATATATAATATATATATAATATATTATTATAGTATATATATTTATATATATATAAATATATATATCAATATAAATATAAATAAATTTATCTATATATATATAATATATATATATATATATATATTTATATATATTTAATATATAATTAATATATAAATATATATATTTATAATATATTTTTATATATATATATAAATATTTAAATATATTTTATATCTAAATAATATATATAATATCATATAATATATATATAAATATATATATAAAAATAAAATATATATATACAGGTACAAACATATGAAATACATGTACTAATGCCATCTTCAAAATATACGCTACATGTCCTGAGGCATACAATTACGACTTAGAAAGCAGGTTAGTCCTCCAGTCCATAGTCATCATTCATAGTGGGGGGGGGGCTCAACCACCTTATTAACTATGACACAAGAATCAAACACATAATCTCTTAAAATATTCCTTGATATGTGCTCTCAAAGATATGTTCTGGCCTGGTCACCACCTTATATAAATGCAGCTTAGATTGCCTATTAATTAAAATAATTCCTCATAAATGTGACTGATTTATTTAAAAGTCTTATCCAGGCCCATTATTAAACTGTGCCTAAATTAAGTCTGAACATTGGTATTTGAATTGGATAGGGATGGTGGGAATGCCTTCCTTGATGCTGACTGACTCTTGATCCAAGGAATTAGTTATACTCTTTCCTCGAATCAACCATATTTGCTTCTTTTCTCCAGGTGTTCCATGACCTTAATAGGTTTTAACGATTTATGTTAATAGATATAGCATTTGTAATGTATTATTCCCCCCCCCCCCTCAAAACATTGTGTGCTGTATAACCATTCACAATTACACAGGTGTTCACAGGAAAGCTTTACTTTTGTATGGATCATAGTGCCTGGAGAACAAGATGTTATCAGGTTTGATGCGAGTTGCAGATAGCTCCAATTCAATGGATCAAGGGCCCTTCATCAGCATCAAGGCACCCTTCCCCCATGAAGGCAATAACGACTCATAATTATGTTCTAAATTTACTAGTAGCCACTGAATTTTCCAAAGCCAATCAAGACTTATTAACATTCCATTCCACTTCTTAAGCAACATTTACTGCTACTTCAAGTAATGACTAATAAAAATCTACATATAAAAAATGTATACCCTCTTGTTTGTAGTACAAAAAAACTTGAGGATAATTTAAATTTAAGAAATTTACAAGCTTTCTACTACTGTACTATTTACATTACAATAAATTCATAATTTGAACATAAAGAATATATTAAAGCTGAACATTCAAGCATTCTTGAAAGTTCAATATTGATACATTAGTTTCAGTATGAATTAGAGTAACAAACAGAAACATCACTGTAAAGTACGATAAAAAGCATTGTGTATTTCATTATAGTACTTTTTATGTTCCATTACAATGTAATGAATGCTACCCTTCAAGTGGTAAAAAAAAAAAAACATCAATTTAGGCTTGCATCACCTTTCAACAATTAAAAAAAAGTTTATTTTCTCGAATACGAATTTTTGCACAAAGTGCTTTCGATTACAACAATGCACCATTTTCAGTTTCAAATTCACTCTATTTTTTTTTCAGTGTTTCTATAAATTATACAAATTTATATACCTGAAATAATTTTCACATACGTCACTAGTTTTAATTTTTCAGGAACATGAGGTTATTAATATGTATGAATGAATAGTCAGTGATATGACCACGGATATCTTTTTGTAAATATCTCTGCAGATATATTAATTTTTCGTATACGTATAATAAAAAAATACGAAAAATCTGTGACATCTCTTATCATTCCTCCACATATTTATATTTCTTTGGCCTAATCACAATCTGTCTATAAATCACAGTTTGATGTCCATACCTGAATCATAACCCACGTCTCAGTATTTGAATCACTTAACCACGTCTCAATATTCGAATCATAACTCAATTTTTGTAATTTATTTTGGTTACTTTTATTATGCACTCCATACCCATTATGTGGTTTGTAATCATCCCACACCCATCACGTGGTTTGTAGTCATCCCACACCCATCACTTGGTTTGTAGTCATCCCACACCCATCACGTGGTTTGTAGTCATCCCACACCCATCACTTGGTTTGTAGTCATCCCACACCCATCACGTGGCTTGTAGTCATCCCATTACCATCACATGGACAATAATTCCACATCTATCATGTGTGTGGTAGTCATCCAGTTTCTGTCTTGTCGGCAGTAATTCCATACCATCATGTGGTATGAGGCCTGGTCACAGACCAGGCCGCGGGGGCGTTGACCCCCGGAACTCTCTGCAGGTAAACTCCAGGTAGTCATAAGATTACAGACACACAATGGGACCAAGGACAAGGCTCTAATGATGATACCTGACTTTCCTTCGCACTAGGAATACTATCCAGTAAAAAAAAAAAAATAGCAATCTGTGCATCTGCATCACAACTCGGTCTCTGTATCCGAATCATTGCCTATTTGTGAGAGTTGATCTCGCTGGTGGTTGTGATGGTTGTTGTTAATGGAGTTGGGAGCGCAGTGGCCACAGAAACCGCAGAAAGGCGCCAGCCTGGACGTGATAGCGTGTCGATGACGATGATAGAGCCTATAGCTCAGCAGTGCTGTGATGGCCACCAGCAGCAGTACCACCAACCCCGGCACAACCATCACCACCTTGGGGTTGCCCTTACCACCCCCTGCCAGCGTCTCGGGCTCCTCTTCGGATAAATCCTCGTCGGATTTGTCGTCACCATGCCACTGCGTCACCTCCTGCACCGCCTGGAGACACGAGTGAAGGAGGGTCTTGGCTGGTGTCCATGTCCCACGCTCTCTGCACTCCAGCGCCACACTCTGTGGTCACATAACAAACTGTAAGTCACACCCCGAGACTCACGTGGGTCATTAAGGCTTAACTAACTTGTACATTATCAAAAATATTTAAAACTATACAATAAGAATTAAACTCATTGTGTATATACACAGGTCTTTGTGTATATACCTTTTTATACAGTGTCACTGACATTTCATATAAATTATTATAAATAAAAAGGAGATACCAAAGCGGCATTAAATGGAAGCGAACAGATCTGAGTTATGCTGACGGGCATCAATTAAAGACCTGTTATATTAATTTTCGCCCGTCAGCACATCTCAGACAAGAATCTAAGATGAACTCTAAAAAAAAAAAAAAAACATACCATGAACCTCATATAAGTATACTGACAGAATGTAATGGACACTTGTACAACACTATAATATTATAACGTTTCGTTCACAGGGAGCTTGATCAGTACAACTGACAACGCTCCCAGTGAGCAAAACGTTCCGTGTCTTTATTACACTCAAGGATAACAAACAAAACCCTAAGTTACAAATACTAAATCAACATTTTTTAAATCAATGAACAATCATTAGATACACTGTATTATGCAGCTACTTTTTACCTAACACACCATTAACCACTACGACTATTCATACACCAGTGTTCCTGCAAGTTAGTTTTGAATCCTCCCACTAGGCTGAAGATTTTTCACATTTACATTCGCTACTCTTGCCCAGAATGCAACCCACAAGTCGACTAGCACCCAGGTATCTATTTATTCTTAGGTGAACAGAGGTAACAGGTATAAAGAGGCTTATTGTCTCGCCTGGCTCAAGACGAACCTGAGACCTATGGGTTGTGTCCTGGTAATTAAGCTGCAAGTCAGCACAAGTATGTCACATGAGAGACAACAATGACCATCTATACCACAGTGAAGGGTAATAAAGTTATAAGTCATAATGAAGATGAACAGAGTACTTAAGTCCTAATGAACAAAAGCCAAGGTCAAGTTGTAGGATAAACAAAGACCCTAACTCGTACAGAATTCTAATAAAAGTCTAATTAAACTGAATAACAAATGGACTTAAGCCAAATTGTACAATACCAAAGACTTAGTAATAAAATAGGGAAGCAAGTTTCCCGTATGTGTAATTATCTATAGACGTTAGCATATGTGGGTTGAGTTCCAGCCCATGGCCGCCACCTCTGAACCTTCAATATTTATTTGATATCAGTGATCTAGTCCTAGTGCATTGGTAGTACAACAGTATGGGTACCTGGAAGTTAAATGATTACTTGCATTTAGCGTTTCGTGGATTTTTGCCCGAGTCCGCCTGGCAAGCCTAAATAGTTTAATGCGTTGAAAAATACATTTGTGATTTAACATGGCATAACTTTTGTAATTTTGCACAAGACTAACCTAGCAATTTCACCTAACCTTGAAAAACAATTTAATATAATTTACAAATTTAAATTTACACAGCTCAATGTCAGCGACAAGCTTTATCATAACCAAGCCAGCCAAGTAGTTATAACCTGAAACCAATCAGAAAAACCACTCTCCAGTAATTTATTTTAGCTTAATTCTGTCCGACGTAAGTCAAATGAATTTAGTTAGTATCCTTTAAAATCAATGAAATATATTAATATCGTCATATTCAGGTTGATTTTCGCGGATTTATTGTAACAATGAATTTACAAACCGCTTGTTTGGTAAAAAGATTGTTGCTTTAAAAATTAAGATCTCAGGTTCTGCCTAAAATGCACGGCATTGATACAGCGTATTGCATAGGTACAGTCTTGAAATTATTAGAATTGGGGATGAATATGACTAAAATGTGTAACTGATAGATAAATGGAAGATAAAAATAATGTATATATCTAACCTAGATAATTCAAAACGAGGGATTGAAGTTGTTTTTATTACTATAAATCATAAAGAAGCGCTGAACCCTCAGGTTTGAGCCAAGGAAACGGTGAGAAGCTCCAATTCCTTGGAGACCTTCACCAACATCAAGACACCTTTGAATTATTATATTATTATAATTATGGGGGAGCGCTAAACTCGTAGGATTATACAGCGCATGTGGGGGGGATGGAAGGTATTCAGGCTCAATTCAGGGAACCGGAGCACAGATTCAATTCCCTAGCTCAAGAGCCCCTCACCAGCGTCAAGAAACCTCTCTTGAGGGGAGGACACCTTTGAAAAAGAGGAAAGATCCAACAGGTTTGCCAATAGAACTGTAAATGAATGGAACAAACTGCCACGTAGCATCGCTGAGACAAGTTCTACATTTTTATGAATGTGAAAGATAGGCAGGAGTTAAGATAAGACAAGGTGAGATTTTGTTCGGACTTTTAACTCGGATGGTTAGCTACCCAGGATAACCCAATAAAGTCAGTGCGTCATCGGGGACTGTCTTATTTCCACTGCGGTCCTTTACCTTATCCCCCAGGATGCGACCCACAACAGCGAGGGATGGAACCTTGAGCACTCGGTATGCGAGCTGAGTGCGCTATCAACAGAGCCACAAGAGGTGTGTGCATCTCTCAATGTACGCACATCCAGACTGATTCCTATTTTAGGCAATAAAGTATCTTTGACTATTAGTAGTGTACAGGTGATATGCAGTATTACTGACTCTTGTGTAACGTATAGACTTGAAGCCTAATCCAAGAAAGAAGGGAGTGTTGCCAAGATCGTGGCCCAAGATCCTTATACCAAGAGTAATGGAGCAACCTGTTTTTAGCATGAGGCACCAAGTTTACTACAAAGCTCCTTATATTTCATGTGTAGTGTAGATAAATGAGTAGAGCGCATGTACCTGGGTACAGATGTGTACCTGGAAATAGACTTCTTACGTATAGCTCACCTCTTGCTGACACGTGGGGCAGGCCTGAAGGTTGCTGAGGTCTGCTAAGAGTTGGCAGGAACACGCCCATGGGTTGTCATGTACAGTGACGTGTGTGTGCACCTTCAGAGTGGCCAGGTCACGGGCGTCCAAGTCCACTAAGCGGTTCTTGTGCAGGTGCAGACGCCGCAGGTTGTGCAGATGATTGAAGGTGGCCGGCGCAATGTGCAACAGGCGGTTGTGGCTCACGTCTAGCGTCCTCAACGTCCGTAGCCCAACAAAGTCACGCTCTGAGTAAATGTTGGTTTTAGCAAATTTTTAAGACTGAAATCTAAATCTAAAGATTCACTGAGTTTTCTACTTAAATAGTAAATAAGCCGTTGATAAGCCTGGTTGATCAGGCCCTGATCCATAGGGAGGCCTGGTCGTGGACCGGGCCGCGGGGGCGTTGATCCCCGGAATACCCTCCAGGTAGACTCCAGGTTGTATACAAATTTACTGCAAACACTTATTTTTTATTATATATCTACGTAAATTAAAGTTAAATTGAAGATCTACTAATACTACAAATCGATCGTGTTATTAAGATTTCATGAGTCATCTTACCATCTTATTTCTAAAATCTATTGTTTATCTAATACAACTTTCATGTTAACGATAAAGTAATAGGTGGGATCACACAAGTTTGGCATTCATCTTATAACAAATATATTTAAAGTACAGAAATTTCATTACAGCCTCCTAGTGTGTCAGTATTGATTAAATGATCTCAAGACACACCCTAAAGTTAGCACATGTTGGTATTGATTGGAGCCTCTTATTTGGCCTGTGTGTATGTTCATATTGATTAGCCGTCTCTCGATGCTGTCACGAGCTCTTCCCTTGTCTCTGAAGGAGTTTTGTCAGAAGAATATAGAACTACTAGTGTGTATCATACATTTGTTCTGATACCAAACCATTCCTTGCCTTTAGTATTTTAAATGTCATCTGATTCTGCCTGGAATATGTATTTCTCCACTGCATATCTCCTCAAGGGAAGTAGGTTCCTTGACGTCAGTGAGGTGCTTGTCATCCAAAGAATTGGAACTGCCCTCCTCTTCCTTAGATTGAACCTAAATGTCTCTCATTCCCCAGGAGAAGTATGAGCCTTACGAGTTTATCGCACCTCCCATGAATATAATTTTTATTGCATGTACTGATTTTTTAATTCGTTTTCTGCTTCTACTGGCAGTACACAAACCATTGCCATTTTAAAAATGACTTATGTACATACACGAGACTTTTCGTCTCGTGTATGCAGTCACGACTTCTCGTCTCGTGCATGTAGTCATGAGACTTTTCGTCTCGTGCATGTAGTCACGAGACTTTTCGTCTCGTGCACGTAGTCATGAGACTTTTCGTCTCGTGCATGTAGTCATGAGACTTTTCGTCTCGTGCATGTAGTCATGAGACTTTTCGTCTCGTGCATGTAGTCATGAGACTTTTCGTCTCGTGCATGTAGTCATGAGACTTTTCGTCTCGTGCATGTAGTCATGAGACTTTTCGTCTCGTGCATGTAGTCATGAGACTTTTCGTCTCCTGTATGCAGTCACGAGACTTTTCGTCTCGTGCATGTAGTCATGAGACTTTTCGTCTCCTGTATGCAGTCACGACTTTTCGTCTCGTGCATGTAGTCATGAGACTTTTCGTCTCGTGCATGTAGTCACGAGACTTTTCGTCTCGTGCATGTAGTCATGAGAATTTTCGTCTCGTGCATGTAGTCATGAGACTTTTCGTCTCGTGCATGTAGTCATGAGACTTTTCGTCTCGTGCATGTAGTCATGAGACTTTTGTCTCGTGCATGTAGTCATGAGACTTTTCGTCTCGTGCATGTAGTCACGAGACTTTTCGTCTTGTGCATGTAGTCATGAGACTTTTCGTCTCCTGTATGCAGTCACGAGACTTTTCGTCTCGTGCATGTAGTCATGAGACTTTTCGTCTCCTGTATGCAGTCACGACTTTTCGTCTCGTGCATGTAGTCATGAGACTTTTCGTCTCGTGCATGTAGTCACGAGACTTTTCGTCTCGTGCATGTAGTCACGAGACTTTTCGTCTCGTGCATGTAGTCATGAGACTTTTCGTCTCGTGTTCTATGCATTCATTAACATTTTATTTTATTATTTTATTAACAGATCGGCCGTTTCCCACCAAGGCAGGGTGACCCGGAAAAGAAGAAACACTTTCATCATCATTAACTCCATCATTGTCTTGCCTAAGGCAAGCTTACACTACAGTTATAAAACTGGAACTTTTCAACACCCCTCCTTCAGAGTGCAGGCACTGTACTTCCCACCTCCAGGACTCAAGTCCGGCCTGCCAGTTTCCCTGAATCCCTTCATAAATGTTACCTTACACTCCAACAGCACGTCAAGTCCTAAAAACCATTTGTCTCCACTCGCTCCTAACACGCTCACGCATGCTTGCTGAAAGTCAAAGCCCTTCGCACACAAAACCTCCTTTCCTAGGCCGACCCCTACCCAACCTTCCTTCCACTACAGATTTATACGCTCTCCAAGTCATTCCATTTCGTTCCTTCCTCTCTAAATGTCTGAACCACCTCAACGACCCCTTCTCAGCGCTTTAGTAACCCCGCACCTCCTAATTTCCAAACTACGGATTCTCTGCATTATATTCACACTGCACATTGCCCTCAGACACGACATCTCCACTGCCTCCTGCCTTCTCATTGTTGCAACATTCACTACCCATGGTTTACACCCATATAAGAGCACTGGTATAACTATACTCTCATACATTCCCCCTTTTCTTCCATAGATAACGTTCTTTATCTCCACAGACTCCTCAGTGCACCACTCACCTTTATCCCCCTATAAATTCTATGATTCACCTCGTCTTTCATAGACCAACCTCTGCAACATCTCTTCAGAATCTCCCAAATGCACAGTGCCATCAGCAAAAAGCAACTGCAACAACTCCCACTCTGTGTCAGATTCTTTTTCTTTTAATCCCACGCCTCTTGCCAACACCCGAGCATTCACGTCTCTTTCAACCTTATCTATAAATAAATTGAACAACCATGGTGACAACACATATCCCTGTCTAAGGTCTACTTTTACTGAAAATAATCTCCCTCTCTCCTACAAACTCTAACCTGATCCTCACCATATCTTAAAGGGAGAAATATTTTTTGGGGATATAATCTTGAAATACAACTGCCTCCGTGTTTTTTCAGTATACATAAAGTGGTGCTAAGTGAAGATAATTTACACATTAAGTACATAAATATTTAGTGGACTCACCGTGGAGCTGAGTGAGGCGGTTGAACGCCAAATTGAGGTGGAGTAACTTGCGTGCCCGCTTAAACGTTGACTTGCCCACCTCAACTACTTTATTGTGTGACAAGTCCACTTCCTGAGAGAAGAATGTCATCCAACCACACAACATTTACGGTATCCATCACAGTAGTCACGGCAGCACAACGCAGTAGTCACGACAGCCACAATACAGTAGTCAAGACAGCCACCACAGTATTTACGATAGCCACAAAACACGACAGCCAAGCAGCAATCCAAAACGAGAAGAGAGGTGTCATTAAAGAACATCTTACAGTCCTGAAAAAAATCTGTGTTTATACAAGCATTCCTAACCTTAGCGTGTACAATCAAAAGGAACCGGGTTCGATTATTAGGGGGAGGAGAGATGTATGTATGGCAAGTCTCCTTACATGTGTTGCCCGTTCCCCCCAGCAATAAATACCTATGTGGTAGTTGACTATTGTAGACTTATGGATCGGGTTCTAGAAGATGACTAATACGAATAAGACATGCTACCTCACTTTGTTAGGTTATTCTCAGTTAATACGTATGGATGTCTTCTCGTCTTCTTCATCTCTTGCAACCACGAAATCCCAAATTACAGTCTCGTATTCATGTTTTTTTTTCTTTTTAGGACAAAATGTTCAACATAAAAGCTTGTTCTGCAAATGTGTCATTTCTTAAACTTAAGTGCTAGCTGACTGATGTGGGACTCATCCTGGGAAGGAAGGGAAGCAGTATGCCTTAGACAGTCTTGGGCTTTAAAATAGTTGACGCAGGATGGTAACTTTGTCAATACCAACGGTACAGTGCATGGCTTGGCACAGTTCTTGATAAACGAAATGTAGTCGCAGTAAATGTCTTTGTAGTTGCATATGTGTTCATTTACCTAATATGTTGCCATAGTAGTGTTACCAATAACTAATTATCTTATGACAGCGTCCTAGTTGTACTGTATATCAAAGTTGATACCAGTGGCCTCTGTTCTGTCCTTCAAACAGCTGTTTCAAAACACACGGTGCTTCAATATGTCGAAGTTTCTGGCTCGGTTAATTTTAAAACGCCAAGATACGGATATCAAGTAAATTACGTCATTAGCAAGCCCCGCTTACGTTTACATGACCATTATTATTAAATCAGACTACTCTCTGGTTACTATACAAGCGCGAGGCTGCACCTACGGTCTCCCATCCAGTCATTGGCCTGACCCAACGGTGCAAGACTTGAATCTCTTGACTCACCTGGCGTGGTCAAAACACTTTTTAAAAATATATTCAGAACATTTCCTAAAAAATGTATTAATAAAAAAAAGCAAGGAAAACCACACACAAATTATTAAGAATAGTTACAAAACAAATTCGTAAAAAATCATAGCTATTGTTAAATATTGGTCGACCAACATTCAATTATCAAAAGAAGGCTTCTTTCATATATAAGTTGCATTTGTTAAAGATTTTACAATACACAACTATTTTTATTTTATATTTTTATTATTATTATTACATTAAGGGAGAACGCTAAACCCTTCAATTTCTTCAAATTAGAAATTAAATAACAAAAAGGCACAATACCGTGACTGGAACGATACTCAAATAACCCGCACATAAAAGACAGAAGCTTACGACGACGTTTCGGTCCGACTTGGACCATTGACAAAGTCACACTAACAGAGAAGGAGCAGGACGGCTATATATAGGCAGGAAGAGGTGGAGGTAGTAGTAGTGGTAGAAAGTATTAGTACAAGAATTGTATATAATACCGACAGGATGAAATGACACACGCACAACACCCGGGCATCCCCACCGTAGACTTTTTCGCCATCCAGCCAGCCACTGGATGGCGAAACGTCCACAACAAAGACAACCAGACGCCGCACATGTGTCTAATTTCATCAAAGATTAGTAGAAGAAGAAGAGGTAGTAGTAGGGGTAGGGGTAGAAGGGTGGGAAATAAGGAAGAACGAGCCATTTCAAATACAAAGGAAGGGGAGCACTGCAAGAGAGCTAGAAACCCACAGAGGGAGAGCAAGCGCACCGAGGTTCCTTCCAGCAGAAATTTCCACTCTTTATAATTCGTTCTCCCGTCTTGGCTACCCTTCCCATTTCATAGACTCTGCCCTCTCCGTGCTAAACGCAATTTCTTCTCTCCCAAACTCTCTACTCATGGGAACTCTTCTATCCTCTGCCTTCCCTACATTTCCGGTCTTTCTAATCTCAACAATTCTCTCCGTCCCTTGGGGACATCAAGTTTACCTTCCGCCAGACTAACACTCTTCGCACTAATCTCGTTCATACCTCTCCTCCCTCTACAGATGTTCCGGTGTCTACTCTATTTCTTGCTCCTCCTGTCCTCTTCAAAAACTTTGGAGAAACTGGTCGATCTCTTTCTGACAGACTTAGGAGCACAAAAATAGTGTTAGGCTTGCCGACACTAACAATGCTCTTTTCGTCACGTCAGAGATCATAGCCATCCTATTGACTGGTCTTCTGCAAAACTGTCTTTCCCTACTTCCAACTCGAACAGTCGCCGTTTAGTTTTAATCCTCTCTTATACACAACTTTCCTTGTATGAACCTTAGCCCTGCTTCGGCTCTGTAGATGCCTTCCTCTCCCCCTACTTGTAAAATGCTCCAAACTTCAGAACACCCGGACTTAACCTGATCCCCCATTTTTCTTTTTCTCTTCCTTCTTTTCTTCTTCCTCTTCCCCTTTCCTCTCTCCTTTTCCCCCCTGGGTTTCTTTCTCTCACCTGTCTCGTTTTCTGTTCCTTCTTTTATTTTATTTCCCACCACTTCCCCTTTCACCCACCTCGGTGCGCTTGCTCTCCCTCTGTGGGTTTCTAGCTCTCTTGCAGTGCTCCCCTTTTCCCTTTTTATTTGACTGGCTCGTCTTCCTTATTTCCCCCTTCTAAACCACTACCACTACTACTACCTCTTCTTCTTCTACTACATCTACTGATGAAATTAGACACATGTGCGGCGTCTGGTTGTCCCCTTTTTTGTGGACGTTTCGCCATCCAGTGGCTGGCTGGATGGCGAAACGTCTACGTGGGATGCCCGGGGTGTTGTGCGTTTTGTCATTTCATCCTGTCGGTATTATATACAATTCTTGTACTACTACTACTACTACTACTACCACTACTACTACCTCCACCTCTTCCTGCCTATAATGCCGTCCTGCTCCTTCTCTGTTAGTGTGACTTTGTCAATGGTCCAAGTCGGACCGAAACGTCGTCGTAAGCTTCTGTCTTTTATGTGCGGGTTATTTGAGTATAGAAATTAAAATAACATTTAAATCCATGTTGGACCTGTATCAAAAAGTTTCCCTTCAAAATTTATAATTTATAGATTAGTTGTGAACTGTTCCAAGCACTGTCCTTTCAAGGGGAATGTCTTGATGCTAGTGAAGGGCTCTTGATCAAGCTGTACCCGACATACCCCAGGTTTTGCAATACCCCTACGGGGTTGGCGCTTCCCGTGGTATTATGCCTTATATTCTTATATCCTTATATTCTAATGGTTGCATTAAGCTCAAGATCATTACAGATTATTATTATTATTAATAATATTCACAATTAATCAGTGGTGATTAATTGTGAATATTTAAGGTAGAATAAACAACAATATCAAGTACTACGAGTCTGTTACATTTGGAAAAAAGAAGCTAGTAAACAGCATTATTATAATAACGGGGAAGTGGTAAACACGTGGTTGTTGTACAGCGGCTTGGGAAAGGAACATAATTAGGCTTTATCCAAGGATGGGGTGGATTGCTCCAATTCCAGCATCAAGGTCATTTACTCCCCCCCCCCTTCCTTCCCTTGAAGAGAACAACAAGGGTGGTAACAACCTACCATGAGGGCGTGTGTGAGGATGGGGAATGTAGTGAGTAGATTATGACTGAGGTCTAGTTGAAGCAGAGCGGGCGGTAGCGTGGGCGGTGTTGCCAGGTAGTTATGGGCGGCGGTGAGGTGTGTGAGGTTGGCAGGCGGGCAGGAGGCCAGGTCGAGGCCTGCCAACAAGTTGTGGCGAAGGTCGAGGTTACGGAGGCTGCCCCAGCCGCAAGTGGAGGCTGCTGTTAGTTGGTTGCCATTGGCCTGTAGATATTCCACGCTGGCGACTCCGCCATCACAAGCCGCCCACTGCATCCCACCGCCCACTTCGTTGCCAGAGACGTGGAGGGTGACAAGGGAAGGCGCGCACAGCGCCAAGCGAAGTAGGGCGGCATGGGATGCCTCCAGGCGTTGTAGGGCGGGCGGAGCACAGGAAGCCTTCAGAGTCAGCGTCTCCATAGGCGTGTGTGAGATATCCAGCATCTCCAGTGAGGGTGGGAGAGTCTCACACAGGCCGCCCTCCTCCTCCCCGTCCACACCGCTGGCCACACGCATCCACATCTCCCTCAGAGTGAGTGTTTCCCCCCACCACCCTGGCTTCAACACCAGTGACCCCTTGATGGCCAAGGTCAAGCCCTCCGCCCACTCTGGCACCCCTCCGCCCACGCCCACATGACCGCATCCCTCAACGTCCACAACCAGCTGGTTACCGCCACCACACTCCAGCTGGCTCAGGTCCACCTCCACGCCTCTGCCAGACACCGCCGGTGTAACCAGGGTCGTGGTGGCATAGGCATCAGCGTCGTTGGCGTCGGGAGTGGTGACATGGCCCTGGGACCCAGGGATCCCAGGAAACAGACGCGGACCTGAGGGACAGATGATGTTCACCTGTGTCACGTTCCTTTCCGTGGATACTTCGATCGCGACGGCCTAGTGGACACCTTAAGCCGCGGCGATTCAGTTGACCTCTGGAGCGGCGGCGGCTTCATGGTCACCAGCCGCGGTGACTCCGTGCCCGTCGTCAATATTAACATAGTAGTGGTGTCGCTAGCGGAGTCATCTGCTACTGTATTAGTGTCGTCGAGGATCTTGGTAATGTTGGCGGGGGTAGTAGCGTGAGCAGTTTGGGGGGGTTTCCCTCACTTAAGCCCCCCTGAAAGGGGGGCTGCACCTAGAAGCCACGCCCACACCCGCGAACCGGGGAAAAGGAGGCGACTCAGGAGGGGTTGGTCCCTGTTTGACTGTGGGGTGGGAAACCCGGGTCTTTGGTAGTCCACCCTCTCCCCCCCCATGACACTCCCTCTCTCCCCCCTTGCTCACCAGGCTAAGTCTAAAAGACATCTCCCATTTCCTCTGCTCTTTTCATTTATTTTCTTTGGCTCGCCAAAATTATAATCATTTTACAGAGCCTCGCCCGCATTATTGAAATCCCCGTTATATTGCGCCTCGATTTCCTGAAATTTCCCAACAAATCTAAAAACCGTCCGCATCAAACGGTACACACTGTGTTTTTATAAACACCTAAAATAATTTCATCTCTTAAAAAAAACACCTAATAATTAAACAAAAAATTTTTCTAACAGCATCCCCTCTTCTCTCTCTCGCTCTTATTTCTACTTTAAGAATGTGATCACTATCAACACACCTCCTTACACTTGTATCCATCAAATTAATTTTTAAATTTAAATATATTAAGTGAAATTTTTGCCTATTTTTGGGCACGCAAACCATGGGGTCTACTGCCTTGGTAATAGGAGACAATAAATTTCGATCCTGGGAAAAGGGAGGAAGTCCAATTCTCGAATTAAAAACCCTTTCCCGGGCACAAAGTACCTGAAAGCATCTTCTAAAATATTATAAACAGATCAAGGTTCTAGATTTAGTCTTGCAAATCATCCATGACACTTTTTTATTTCATTCATTCATAAAAATTTCTAGCAACGAGAGCCAAACACCCATAAATTTTTTAAAATTTGGTAATTTCTTTGCATCAACCGTGTTAAAGAGAAAATAAAAAATCTGCTTTAAAAGGTTAAAAAATCTCATTAAATATATAAAATCTGAAATTAAAAATAAGTCTGCATTAAAATATACAAAAACGCTTTTAAAAGAAATGAACCCTTTAAAGGGATATGAACCCGCATTAAGGTATAGAATTGCTTTAAGAATATAGAATCTGCATTAAAGTATAAAAATCTGTTTTAAAGAATATAGAGTCTGCTTTAAATAATAATAATAAAAATAATAAAAATATTTTATTTACTCAATACTTACAGGTATACAGTCCTAGCTGACAACAATAAATACACTATATAGAACCCCCTTTTTTCCTATTTTTCGGGAAAATTGGCATGTCCCGGGGTGCGACCCACACCTCGACAACACCCAGGTACCCATTTTACTGTGGGGAACTAGACAACGGTGGAAAAAAAACACCCCAACTTTTTTCACTCTGGTGGGAATTTCGACCCGGGCCCCCTGTGTGAACGAGAAGCTTTTAGCCACCACCACCAACCCTTTTAAAGGATATAGAACTGCAAAAAAGAATATAGAACTGCTTTAAAGAATGAACTCCATTAAAAGATATAGAATTTGCATTAAAAGAATATAGAACCCATTAAAGGTTTTAGAATCTGCATTAAAAAATATAAATCTGATTAAAGAATATAGAATCTGATTAAAGAAATAAAACCTGCTTAAAGGATATAAACTGCATTAAAGAAATGAATCGCAAAAAGAATATAGAATCGCATTAAAGTATAAAAAACGCATTAAAGAATTAGAACCGATTAAAAAATAAATTGCATTAAAAAAAACTGCATTAAAAAATACAAAATCGCATTAAAAGAATGTAAAAAACTGCATTAAAGAAAAATAAATTTTACATTAAAAAAAATAGTCTGAAAAATAATAAAAAACCTACATTAAAGAATAAAAAATATGCTTTAAAGAATATAAAATCGCATTAAGAATAAAAAACCTGCATTAAAAAATATAGAATCTGTTTAAAAAGAAAAAAAATTAAATTTAAAAGTATAAGAATCACATTAAAGAATAAAAAACCCATTAAAGTAAAAGAACTGCATTAAAAGGGTTTTTACTCCGGGTTTGTCACACCTGATTGCCCTTAAAACGATAAAAAAACTAAAAATTGCGGGGGTCATCTTCCCCCGGAGGGGTTTCATTAAAATTTTTAGACGCTACTGCAGTCTGACGACAATAATAGAAAAAAAACCCCACTAATTTTTCCTGGGAGACAAAATTACACGGCACCAGCAACTGCAAATTTTACACGCAAAACTTGTACTTTTTTTTGTGACTCCCGGGTTCACACCGCCCCTTGGTTAGTTTACAAATACCTTTAAGGATTCATTCACCCATTAGCTGATGTAAAAAAAAAAGATTTTGTTCATTTTTAAAAACCCGGAGTTTGCCCACGGGATAACCCAATAAACCCAAATGCGTCATCGGGTTTTTCATTCTTATTATTTCCACTGAGGTCCTAAAATTTGTCCACCGGGGATGCGACACAAAGAGGAGCAGTGCAGGAAACGTATCCAATTTTTAAACCCCTGTCGGGACTAGCCCCGACCCCCAAGTCATCTAATTAATGTAGATTTTGTCAGAAAATGCCACACTTAAACTTTTTGTTTGAATATAAAAAAAAAATTTTTTTAAGACGACTTCCCTAAAATTTTAAAAATTTTATCCAAAATTTTTTTTTTCAAAAAATGCCCAAATTTTACTTAATAAAAAAGGGAGAAGAATTTAAGATGTGTGTGCGAAAACTATATAACCACATGCCGAACAAAACCAAATTTTACAATAAAACCCTTTCAAATTAATAACAAAACAGGTTGGTCAGCCCTTGGGTTGGTTTTTGCTTCTGTAACCTGCTGACTAATACCCCAGGTGAAAAAAACCGCTTTTGAAATTTAATTTGTTTTACATACGAATATATTTAAGGCTTACAAAGTAAGAAAAAACCAAATATTACGAAATTTTCATTAAAGTTTGCTATTAATTTTTAAATAAATGATCCAATCAAATTTCTTTTAACTATTCCTTATCAATTTCCTAACTCTAGACCGTTTACTATCATTCTTTTCAATATTTTACCTACCCACCACAATTTATTTTCGCAAGAGAGTTTTAAAAAATTTTTTTTCAAAACAGAGGAAGGGGGGAGTGATACAGCAAAACGTTGAAAAATGAAGGAGTAATTTTACGTACCCGTTTTATTTTAAATTTGGGAAAACGTTTAGCCGTTATCTAAACCCCGGGTAATGGGGGAATCGGTTTAAAAAACCAGGAAGGGAATTTTCGGTTCCAAAATCAAAGAACCCTTCACAGCAGACTCCCCCCTGCTTTCCCTCAAAATCCTTCGGCGTAGCTTTTGTTGCTTTTAAAATTGACCCATTATTCAGTCGAGCTTACTATAAAGAATAAAAAGCCAATATTGACGGAACAATACACAAATAACCTGCATTTTAGGAGACAAACTTACGACGTTTCGGTACGATTTGGATCTTTAACAAGTAACTTTTTAAAAGATTCGGTCGGATCGAAACGTCATAAGTTGCCCCAAGTGAGCATTGTGTAGCGATGCTACAGACTCAATAAAATTGTTACCTTTGCACTTTTTGTAGGCAACTTTGGGCCTGTAATCTACCGACCTGATCCATCCAGAAGCAGGGCCACTAGGCAGCGAAATACCTAATGCGACGCAATGGTTTTTTTGCCTGCTGCTTTAAAGATAATTCTCATTAAAGTTATATGAATAAAAAGAAAATTGAATAATTTTAATACTGATAGGCTTTTACCCGTTCATTTTTTTTAAAATTACGGGTTTAGATTTAAGTGTACTCCCATTAGGACAGAGTACAGACCCTCTGTGAGAATTTTTTATATATACCATAACAAATAAAAAAAAAAACAGTCCACTATTATCCGGGCTTATAATAATTCTGAATTGTTAGCTACAATGTGTGTGTGTGTATTTTATTTTTATTATTATCCACCGGCCGATTCCCACCAAGGCAGGGTGGCCCGAAAAAGAAAAAATTTCACCATCATTCCACTCCATCACGTCTTGCCCGAAGGGTGCTTTACACCATTTTTTTAAACTGCAAAATTAAACCCCCCCCTTTGAGTGCGGCACTGTACTTCCCTCTCCAGGGCTCAAGCCGCCTCCGGTTTTCCCCGAATCCCCCCATAAATGTTAATTTTTCCACACTCCAAAAAGCCGTCAAGTATTAAAAAAACCCTTTTTCTCCATTCACTCCTATCAAAAACGCTCAAACTGCCTGCTGGGAAATCCAAGCCCCCCGCACACAAAACCTCCTTTACCCCCCCCTCCAACCCCTTCCCAGGCCGACCCCCCACCCCCCCCCTTCCTTCCACTACAACTGTACATTTGAAGTCATTCTGTTTGCTCCATTTTCCCCTACATGTCCGAACCACCTCACAAACCCCTTTCCCCAGCCCTCTGGACAACATTTTGGGGAATCCCGCCCTCCTCCTAACTTTTCCAAACACGAATTCTCTGCTTATATTCACACCACACATTGCCCTCAGACATGACATCTCACTGCCTCCACCCTTTTCCTCGCTGCAACATTTATCACCCCCCTTCACCCCCTAAAGACGTTTAAAAATTAACTCTTAAATTCCCCACTTTCCTCCAAAGGCAAAATTCTTTTTCTCCACAACTCCTAAGTGCCCCACTACCTTTTTTTTTCCCCCTCTTCAAATTTTACCTCATCTTTCATAGAACCATCCGTACACGTCCACCCCAAATACTGAATACGTTCACCTCCTCCATACTCCCCCACCAATCTAATCAATCTTTCATCACCAAACTTTTTGTTTTCCCATAACCTTACTTTCCTGTATTCACCTTTAAATTTTAATTTTTAACGAAAAAAAAAAAATTTTTTACTTTTTGTTTGTATTAAATTATTTTAAACAAATCTAAAATAATTTAAATTTTTGGGTTTTGGCTAAATAAGTTCTTTTTATAAAAGGGGTTTTAGGGAAATTTTCTAAGTTCCCTTTTGGGGCAAAATATAAAATTTTACATCAACTCAAAAATATAAAATATATAAAAAATTTTTATATATAATATTAAAATATATATAAAAATTAATAATATATATAAAATAATAAATGTCGGCCGAATATGTAAAAATGGTCAATTTTCAAAACTCATTTAAAATTAATTTTCCCTTTTTAAAATTTTTCTCTTATACGTTTAAAAAATATTTTTTTCATTAATGTTGAGTAAAATTAAATTTTTTCACCCAAAAAAACTAGAAAACTTACCCAACCTTTTTATAACA